AGGAGCTCTCACTCCCTTCTGCAGCCCTGGGGCCATGGCATGGGGAGAGAGCTTCTCTGGTCTTGGGGCTGCAGGGGCAGTGGGCAGAAAGGAGCAAGGGGGGGGGGGCAGGCTGTAGGGGGGGGGCAGAATGGGGGGGACCCTGGGTGGGGCAGACCAGGGGGAAGAGGCAGAAAGGGGTGGAGCTGTGGGTGGGGCCACAGGCAGAAGGAGTGGAACGGGGGCAGGGCTGCAGGCGGAAGGGGTGGGGAGGGGCCCAATGTTCCCTTTAATTTTCCCATCCATGTGCGGAATGAATTTTGCTGTGTGCACCAATATGGAGGTGATGTGTGGCCGGGGTGGGACCGAGTGGTCCAGCGTGTGGGAGGGGGCTAAGGGCTGGGGCAGGGGGTTAGGGTGCAGGGGGGTGAGGGCTCCGGCTGGGGGTGCGGGCTCTGGTGTAGGGCAGGGGATGAGGGGTTTGGGGTGCAGGCTCTGAGGTGGGGCCAGGGAGATCTCCCTCTCTCCCTGTTGCAGCCCTGGAGCTGGGGGGGAGAGGCGTGTCTCCTCCCTGTGCCACAACCCCGGGGCTGGGGGAGCCTCAATGCGTGGCTCTTGGTGGCCTCCTGCGTGGCCACGCAGCTTAGCAGGAACTTATGAGGGGCCCTCCACTTGTTCCGGCTCAGGGCGCCAGGAAACCTTAATCCGCCTCTGGCTGGGGCAATGCAGGGCCAGAATGAGCAGCAGAAGGGCTGGATCCTGGCCTGGCTGACCCAAGGCGATGGACACTCAGACAGACAGGCAGTGGCGGTGTGGGAGGAGCCCACACAGTTTGAGGGCTGGGGCCCGATAGAACCTGCCGAAGAGACTCCAAACCACCCTGGGACCTCCTCCCGCCAGTCACATCGCCAGGGACCAGGCTGAAGAGAGCTGCCGAAGGGAAGCGTGCCGGCGTCAGACGGGCCCCACAGCTAGCAAGTGGGAGTGGGGCAAGATGCGCCGGCTGGCGCAAAGGCTGTGCGAGGGAAGGCAGACCCCCCACAATCGATATAGGAGACAAGGACCACCTCCGGCTGGAAGATGCAACAGCACAGGCCCCTCTGCAGGTTTGCTGGAGCCCTGGCGTGGCCTACAGCATTCTTGTTCGTGCCCTGTGCAGGCTGCATCTTTTTGGGCTCTCTGGGGCAAGGGCTGTCTCTCGCTCTGTGGCTGGGCAGCCTCTAGCCACTCCGTAATGAGCTCTGTGTCAGGGATGAAAAGCCCGGGATGTTCTCCCAGAGCGACCGATTCAGCCACAGCCCCTTCCTTGCAGATGCTGCCTCTGGAATGACTGCGGAGGATTTAAGCACCCGGGGCTGGAGGGAAAGGTAGAGGGGACTGCAGAGCTGCGTGGCTCACAAGGATACCTGCTCTCAGTGGCAGCCTTGCCTCACCAGGCAACTGCCAGACTCTGAGAAGGCCCTGCAGCTGAGATCAGCCTGTCTGCTGGCGTTCCACCCGGCGTCGCGGCAAAGACCAGGCCCAGCCCACTGCACAGCCCCAGACCAGAGAGCAGCTAACCCTGCAAACCCCTGTACCGAGCGCCGTGCCCCAGTGCAACCGCTACCAGATCACAATGGTAGTGTGGTCATTTCACACTGGTGCAACCATGGGCGCCGACGCCGGGGGTGCTCTGGGGCTCAAGCACCCACAGAAAATACATCGAGGGTGCTCAGCACCCACCAGCCAGAGCTGTTTGGCAGGGCCACCGATCAGCTGTTTTGCGGCTGGCAGGTAGCACTTGGGAGAAGGCGGACAGCAGGGAGCAACGGGTTGGCCGGGGGCTTCGGGGGCGGAGCTGGGGCAGGAAGAGGCGGATCAAGGGCAGGGTGGCGGGAGAGGGGCAGGAAGAGGCAGAGTGAGGGAGGGGGCTCAGGGGCAGAGTGGGGATGGGGACTCAGGGTGGAGCGGGGATGGAGCACCCATGAGGAAAAATATAAGTCAGTTTTTGTGGGTGCAATTGACTGCACAGGGGCGGGGTAACAGGCCCCCCAACCTCCCTACGATGCACAGCTGCTCATGCCTCCCCCCCGAGAGGTGGCTGCAAAGCCCTCAGCGAGGTGGGGCTCCTAACGGCTCCACATGCCCAGCAATTTGGAGGTTCCCAAAGAATATAGAGACGAGACAGCTGAGCTGTGCCCAGAGCGGAGCCAACGGGCGTTGGGGGCAGAGAGTCTGAATCGCTGCTTGGGGGAGCCTCCTCCCTCTGAGGATTTGCACTCCCCTCGGAGAGGCAGCGTGGCCCAGTGGGTAGAGCGCTAGCCTGGCTCTTGGGAGCCCGCCCGGGGGTCAGCTCCCAGCTCTGCCACAGACTGCCCTGGGAGAGTGTCTCAAGCCAGCAGTTCACCGGCTGGTACAGAACGTAGCCGACAGCTGTAACACCGAGCGAGGTCGGAGCAAGGGTTACATAAAAGCTGTGGATGAGTTTGAGACAGGCTCAACCCACCAGCTAAACACCTTCTCTGTCGGGGATCGCTATGGCAGGGGGCCAGAGCTGAGCCCCCCCCACGTTTCTCCTGTGGGCCGTGGTGCCAGTGTGGGAGCAGCACTATACTGACCCCTGCTGCAGGGGTCTCGTGGCGATGCGCAGACCTGCGGCCGTCACATGACTGTTGGAAGCAAAGGAAGGGAGCCGGGGACCACAGCCACGGTGGAAGGGGCTGAACTGCAAACCAGAGGCCACGTGCCAGCGGCTCCTGTTACTCTTTCTGTGCCCTTCACTGCCCTGATTCTGAGCCAGGGTTCCACATCTCACCACTTTTACAGCGACGCTAACGGGCAGCTTGTCCACGGTCACCGCGGGCCAGGCAGAGCTGGGAGGAGAAGCCAAGTCTTTAAGTCTAAAAGAGCCAAAGCCCAGCTGCTCTGCCACACAGCATTTCCCTTTGTATAACAGCTGGGGCAAGGCCCTGCTTTACTGCTGGCGGGGTTTTACATCACAGCATTGCGAGCTGATGGGACCTGGGATGTTGCAGAAACGTTGGGTTTCCTGTTGCATGTTTAGTGGTTGTAGCCTGGTTCCTGGGGCTGTGCCTTGAAAAGCAGGGGTGGGGGCAGACAGTGTTTGCGGCTGAAAGCGCCCGGGGGGGAGGGGGGAGACATGCAGGGAGGGACAGCCCCTGCTCGGTGAGCCCCAGGAAGAACAGAAGTGGATTTAATACATGTAGCGCTCTCCCGGTCGACTGGTTGTGCCTGCAGGGGATGGGCTGCCTCAGGGCATTGCTGCCGGGCTGTGAGCGGTTCCCCTGGAGGGCACGACATTGAATGCAGCCCAGCTCAGCAGGGGGCCGACTGTTCCCAGCCCGGGGGCCAGCCCCCCACCACAGGATTTCTCTTTTTAAAAAATATCATGATGTGGGGGTCAATGTCTGATGTCTGGGGCCTGACTTGGGGTTTGGACCTTGTGGGGCTGAAACCGAGCCAGACCCAGGCTGGACCCATTAATCAGTCCCAGCAGGCGGGCCCAGCAGCCCAGCCCGCCCTGCCTTTGGGGCTGCAAGCCCCACTCCCAGCCACGGGGTGTGCCGAATGGGGGAGCAGCCCTGGTGAGCGGCTGGAGGGGCAGCGCCCAGCATAGTGCCCCCCCGTCCCTCCTGCAGCACTAGCATAGCCACTCTGCATCCCCGTGGCTGGGGGGCAGAGCTAGGGGTGCAGTAGGATGAGCACTGGGCAGGGCCGGTCTGGGGGATTCCCTACGGAAGAGCCCCGGCTGGCGGCTGTGCGTGGGGCGCTGGTGCCCCCTGCTGCCGACTCTCTAGTAGTGCAAGCCCTGGTAGAACGCAGAGCCACTCCGGCTGGTCTCTCCACTGGGCAGTGATGCCCTACGTGGCTGGGCAGTGAGATCTAGACATGGCCGCCCTGGCTGGCTCAGCGCCGCACGGAGCGCAGGAGAGGCAATGGATTTCCAAACTGTTCACAGCAGCCCAGGCATGGGGACGGTCAGGAAGGGGATAACAGACTCCAGCCCTGCCCCCAGGTGTTTGCCGTCCCCCGGACGGGCCTGGAGCCCCAGGGAGGTGGCTTACAGAATCGCCTCCTTTTCTCCTGCCAGTCTCCTCATCTTGCCCAGGCCTGGATGCTGCCAGCTCTGCCCTAGGCCAGCCCAGGCTGCCATCTCAGAGGTGCCTCTGGGTAGGGTGGCTCTGCTCACCGTGGTCCGTGGCGTTGGAGGAAGGTGTCTGCAGCTAGGGCAAGAGATGCTCCAAGGAAGGAATCCACCTCACTCAGTGGCCAGGGCCAGCAGCAAGAGGCCAGGGACATGCCCCCAGCTGCAGACCAGATGTCCCGCTGTCCCTCGCTGGGGCCTGGCCTGTGGATGGCAGCACCTGGCCACGGTTCCCAGTGCAGCTCCCCAGGCCATGCAGACCTCACAAGGCTCCCACACCTTCCCCTTGCTTGCCCCCAGCCTCCGGGAGAGCGGAGCCAGGGCGGCAGAGGGGGACCAGCCCGGGGGACAAGGTGGAGCAGGAGCATGTGGACAATGAGGGGGCAAGTGCCGAAGGATGAGGGCAGCTGGGGGAGCCCGAGCGTCTGGCAGTGTGAGGGGGTGGGGGTGGGGTGTACAGAGGAGCAAGAAAGGGGCCTGGGGGTACCCGAGGAGAGAGCTGGGGGGCCTGTGAGAGTCCCTAGGGAGCAGCAGAGGAGGCTGAGTCTCCAGGCCCCAGACAAGCCCAGCCTTTGAGTTCCCTGGCCAGGCATGAGCCCCAGTGGGGGCCAAGTAGGCTGGCCCCCGGGCATCTCCACCAACTGTCGGGGAAGCGATGCCAGCAAATGGCTCCAGCCAGCCGCAGTGTGTGGAGGGAGAAGGCCCTGGGTTCATGGCCAGAGGTTCACGGAAGACCAGGGAATATTACATCCCCTGCCCCCCACCGGAGAGTTCCACAGGGTAACACAGCCCCCCAGAAACTCCCCCACCAATGCAGCCCCCCAGACACTCCCCAGCCCAAGAGCTCCAGAGGGTAACACAGACCCCCAGAGACACGCCTGCTAACACAGCCCCCCAGACCTCCCACTAACAAAGTGCCCAGAGACTCCTGCCACTAATGCAGCCGTCCAGCACCACCTCCTCCGCTAACACAGCCTCCCCCCCCAGAGAGCCTTGTAGGCTAACAGCCCACCGTGCACCTCCCAGACTACGACAGGGCCCCATGGGTGAACCCAATCTCCCCCAAACTTCCGGCAGTGTCCCACAAGGTCCCATAGCACTCACAGGCCTGCAGAGCACCCAGGAAATTCTTCTGCACCCCACTGCTGCCTTGCAGAGCTGGAGTTCCAGGTGTCCTGACCTTCCCCAGCGCCCCTCCCTCCAGCCCCCAGGCTACTGGGGAAGGGCAGCCTGGCCTGGTGCTGCAGCCTCAGCGCTCTGGGACCAGGGCTGGAGGAAGGTCCGTGTGGCAGGCCGCGGCTTTGCTCACCTTTGCCTGCGTGACGCTTTCCTGAGCTGCTGGTGCTGGGCGCTCTGCTAGGGCTGGTGGAGTATGCCGGGAGGCTGGGTGACAGCACAGGGGTGCTGTGCGCCTGCTGCAGCTCTGGGGGAGAAGGAGAGGAGGGGTGAGCAGTGGCACAGTGGTGGGGGATAACCAGAGCTGCCCCTCTCCTCGGGGCCCCTCTCAGGCCAGACCTGCTCTCAGCTGGAGCTGTGCAGACGGGGGTGAGCCCACTGAAGCCAGTGGTGGTGCCTGGAATCTGGCCCACGACAGTGGCTGCTGCATTGGACTTGTCACCAAGCATGGAGGAGCCTGTGAGGAGGTTTTGGGCCCAGTCCCCATCCTGACTTCACTCTGTGACCGAGCCTGGGAATCCCCCTGCGCAGTCCCCCCAGCCTGCCCTGCTCTGTCCCCAGCACTGTTGGGACGGGGTGGTGCACGCTGCGCCACAGCTATTCACTTCCTAGGGCCCCCAGGCTGCCCCAGCTTGGGGTACATCCACACTGCGGAGACTACACCAGCACAGCTCTCCCGGCACAGCCGTGTCCCATAGATGCAGCCAACGTTGGCAGAAGAGAACATTAGCTATGTGTGCAACACTGCCAGGCCAGGTGCCAGCTCACGCCAAGGCTCCCCGGCCTCCCTGACAAATGCCCAGCTGGAAACCAGCCTGGCTCACCAGTGTGTTAGCATTGTTACAACGGAGGTTAGAGCTATAATGCGTTCGGTGTTGGGACTTTATGACATGCTTGTGAGTTGCTGCATGTGTTAATCTCACATATAACATCTGTATCCCATGTTATAGGGCAACATTTTACGTATTTTCTCTGTAACTCGAGAAGCGTTTGCTATGAACCTGCAAAGCCCCGAGTCATGAGGAAGCACGGCCAGGTGTGAAATACTCGTTCACCACAAGGGGTGTTATCTGCTGCCCATACGAAAGGTCTACAGACACCAGACAAGCCACTGTGGGACATCAGTGCACGAAAGACTTCGCTGATTGCTCCCCTCATACCCCTGAAGAGGAGACGTGCTCGAACATGCCTGGCCAGAAGGAACTTTATCTCTATGCTGCTTGAACTGTGCGGGGCAAAGACTTCTAAGGGTACGCAAGAGAGAGGCCATATAGAGCTTGCTGATCATAGAAACTTCTGTTACCTTTTAGAACCTAAGACTGTAACTCATTTGTGTGTGTGTTTACTGCTTTAACCCTGTCAATAACTCTCATTTCTTTTTCTTCTCCAATAAATCTTTAGTTAGTTTATTATAGGATTGGCTACAGCCGTTGTCTTGGGTTTGAGATCGGAGGTGTCACTGACCTGGGGTAAGTGACTTGTCCTTTGTGACTGGAGATAACCTGAGCGTTGTGGTTTTTGGTGTAAGGGACCATCTATCACAAAAGCAAGATGGAGTGGAGTGCCCAAGGGGACTGTCTGTGACTCCATGGTTAGGCTGTTACAGTGTTGGAGGAGTTCACACTTGTCACTGGGTTGGTGAAGTCTAACTGTGAAACACAGCACCAGTTTGGGGTTTGTGCCCTGGTTTGTGCCAGTCTGCCCTGGGTTGGCACTCATGGTTGTGAGCCACTCCAGACAGCCTGACAACGTCAATGGAAGCCCTCTTCTGTCAGCATAGCTGTGTCTACTCCGGGGGTTAGGTGGGCAGAGCTACCCCGGTCAGGGTGTGGTTGGTTCACACCCCTGACTGACGTAGCTATGCCGATATAACTTTCAAGCCTATGAGTCTGTCTACACTGCAGCTGCAGGTGTGTTTGCAGAAAGGGCAGATCTAGCTAGATCAAAGCAAGGTCGGGTAACAGCAGCAGTGAAGCCATTGCAGCATGGGGGTGGTACAGGCTAGCCCTGCTCACCCAGGACCCCGGGTACATTCTCTGCTGGTGCTGCCGCAACTTCGCTGCTGCTGTTCCCCGAGGAAGCTTCGATCTAGCTAGATCTGCCCGTACTGCAATCGCAGACATCCCCTTACACGGGTGCTGAGCAGGGCCCTGACTGGCCCCAGAGTACAGGGAGGGGCCATGCAGATTCCTAGAGTCATGGATTCGAAGACCAGAAGGGATCATTGCGATTGTCTAGTAGCTTGGCCAGCGTAGAGATCCCTGAACATGTTTGCGACTCCATGATGAGCCAAATCTGGTGCGTGACAGGGCAGGATGCCAGTGAGGGACAGGTGTCTGTTGACAGCATCCAGCCATCGTGTTGTAGGTCCTCCGGGGCGTCCTTTCCGTCCAGCTCCAAATCGAAGGTGATTTTTGCAGGGAAGCTGGTAGGCATTCGGAGCAGATGACCGTGTCCCCTTAGAGCGCTGGGCGACTGTTTGAGACAGTGGGACCTGTGTAGCTAGAAAATGGGTCTCTTCATTCAACTTGAGTTTGAACCATTTGATATTTTTGATATTCAGAAATGCTTCATCTGACTGGTGTCCAGCTTCTTTTCAGTCTTGTTTCAGTCCGTGTTTCGTGCATTGCTTGATTACAAATGTTATTTAGCTTACAACACGTTACCATATCACCTCCCAAACGAGCCATGCAACACTGTTCAAACACAGTTAAGGTGTTAATGGAGATCCAGGGCTTCTTAGCCATTTTGGGGATCAAGGACTGTCATAGCAATATGACCACAAAGCTCTTATGGGAGTCAAAGTTGTCACCCTCGAGGAATCTTCTGCCAGGAACAACGTGGCCTCCTTCTATAAACACTTGTGGAGCTCACCCCCAAGAAAGATCTTTCATTTGGTGTAGTCGACTCCAGTTCTGATCAGCTACTCAGTGCAGAGGTGGAGTGTGTGGCACGCTGGAGGGAACATGTCAGCCAGCTGGTAAATACACTCCCAGCTTTGCGGGACCCTGACATTAAGGCTGCTGCTGAGTTGACCCATTCCATGTAAAACGATCCTGACGAATCCACCAAAATCCACAGAGATGTAAAGACACATAAGGGAAACCAGGCAGCAGGAATCTGTGGCATTCCTGTGGAACTGTTATCTGGGATCTGAAGCCCATCCAGGCGGAGGGAGAACCAGTATACTTTGGCAGTCTCAACCCTGTTTGAGATTTCAGTTGCACTGCGGTTTCGAATGCTATTGAATTTTAAGTTGGATCATTTGAATTCTGGTAACCCAATCGTCGCTTTGCCTATGCTCGTTAATCTAAGACAGAAACGTGCAGAGACTAATTAGTGGTCGCTGTTGCCAGGCTTGGCAGACCGGTGAGTTCTGCAGTTGCTGATGGACGATTTCCAGCTATGAGAGATTATGAACTCAATCATCTTCTTTGTTCAACCGTCCTTCCTCGACCAAGGAAATCGGTGAATTCGCTTCCTATGAAACCAGGTGTCAGTGGTGCTGAAGCAATGTTTATAGTGGGGGTGTTGAAGGTGTTTGAGTTGTTATTACTACTTCAAGCCAGGGGGTGCTGCAGCACCCCCAGCACCCCTAGTTCCAGCACCTAGGCCAGGTGTTCCTAGAGGCCTGGGTCGGAAAGAGCTAGGCTCAGTGCCCAGGCAAACACCAGTTACTGGGCTAGATGACGGGGCACCTGGATGAGGGTCTCTGGAGAAGTCAGAGCAGGTGATCCTGATGGACCTTAAATTCTCTGGAACTCTGTAGGGCAGAAGGGACGGGGTGTGACACTGCACCCCATATTCTTCACAGTAATATTATTATGATATGATTATGGTATAATTATGGTGCATCTTGTACCAGATGGGTCATGTGAAGTATGATAAATGAAGTATGAGGGGGGGTAGCTCCCTTTGATGGACACCCAGCCAGCCAGTTAGCTGTAAAATCCCTCTTGGTAGCTGTTCTCTACTTGCTTTACCTGTAAAGGGTTAAAAAGTCCCCCAGGTAAAGAAAAAGAAAAAGAAAAAGTGAGCACCTGACCAAAAGAGCCAATGGGAAGCTAGAACTTTTTAAAATTGGGAAAGAAACTTTCCCTTTGTCTGTTGTTCTCCGGAGAAGGAGACACAGAGCAGCAATGCTATAAGCAGCAATGCTGTGTAAGGCTTGAACCAGGTATAAAAATTCATCTTCCATACCTAGAAGAAATCATCGGACAGGGCATGTTTAAATAGACACGATTAGGTTTATTTCTTTATTTTGGCTTGTGGATCTCCTCTGTGCTAACCCCAGATGCTTTTGTTTTGCTTGCAACCTTTAAGCTGAACCTCAAGAGAGCTATCTTGATGCTTAATTTTTGTAATTATTTCTTTTATGATTTAGCAAAATGCCTAAGTTCCAGATCTATTTGGGCATAAGCTTTCGTGAGTAAAAACCCCACTTTTTTACTCACGAAAGCTTATGCCCAAATAAATCTGTTAGTCTTTAAGGTGCCACCAGACTCCTTGTTGTTTTTGTAGATACAGACTAACACGGCTACCTCCTGATACTTAAGTTCCAGATGTATTTTCTTCCTTTTTGTTTTTAATAAAATTTACCCTTTTTAAGAACAGGATTGGATTTTTGGTGTCCTAAGAGGTTTGTGCACATGTTGTTTGATTAGCTGGTAGCAACAGCTAATTTCCTTTGTTTTCTTTCTCAGCTCTTCCCCGGAGGGGGGTGAAAGGGCTTGAGGGTACCCCACAGGGAGGAATTCCCCAGTGCTCCTTCCTGGGTCCAAGGGGTTTTTTTTTTGCATTTGGGTGGTGGCAGCATTTACCAAGCCAAGGTCAGAGAAAAGCTGTAACCTTGGGAGTTTAATACAAGCCTGGAGTGGCCAGTATGAATTTTCAAAATCCTTGCGGGCCCCACTTCTGTACTCAAAGTGACAGAGTGGGGATTCAGCCTTGACATGAGGTGTCATTGGAAAAGTTATGATTTGCTGAATATGATTATCCCATTTGTATGCATGTATCATTTTTGTATCTGAAGTTATGAATATTGACTATGTACCTGTATTTCAATCGTGCTTATGCTTGATGACACCCACAACTAGCCTTTCTGGTACAACAATGAAGAAGCCAGAGAGTGCTGATGGCCCATCAGCAAAGACAATGGACCCTGAAAGAAACTTAACCTTCCTGTGAATGTTCCAGACAGCCTGTAAGTAATGACTGCTATGACTCAGCAAGGTATGCAAGGGCATA